GGAAATGATGGAGATGAAGATAGAATTGGGCTTGAAGGAAACTCAGAGGACAGGGCTGCTGGATGGAGCAGCCCAGTAAATCCTGCATGTCATTCCAATACATCACTGGCACTTTATGAAACCGGTCAGATGGCCACCTTCTGCTGTCAATTTGGAAAATAATGCTCCAGTACGAGTTCACAAATCACATCAAGGCAAACTCTCCCACCAACACAGCTGTCCATGGAAAAGCACATCCCTGCAAGGCAGCCCCACCTGCCAGGGAACACCCGGCTGTCCCACAACACCGGGGCTGGCTCCTTGCTCAGGACCCCCCCTTTCTCCATCTTCCCGCTTACAGCTACTTCCATCTTCTTACAAGCCTATTTCCTCACAGACCTGTGTTCCAAAGCACATAAAAGTGCTATTGAAAATTAATAAGTTCTGATAATGTTGATTATCTGTATATTTTTATGTTCATTTTTCAAGCTGGATACACTCTTCTTCTCTTATTAAACCCTGAGTGGTTTTGTTCAATTTTCAGGTTTTAGAAACCCTAAATCACAGGTGCTAACCTCATCTTTCCATCCACAACAAAACAACCAAGAAGCAAAGCGAAAACATTTTTGTTTTCTTTTGCTTTTTACAGACTGAAGGGTTACATGTTACTTGCTAAGTGATAATGCTATTGTCATGTTTATTCAGTGAAAAGGGCTGACGAGACTTGTTTCACATCTGTCTGCATAATATAACAAACCCACGAAGAACTAGTGATGAAAAAGCTGTTTTGTTGACAACCTATTATTCTTAAATGCACCCAAACAGCAAGATGTAGGCATTGCTTATTAGTGCTGTATTGTAGCTCAGGATTTTGTCCCTATAAATATTTTGTGTCAAAGTATTTTTCACATATATTTTAGGCTGAAAGCCTTTTCCTTACAACCCCAAAGAAGGATAATTTCTGAAGACTTCTATCATCCTAATCACCCTCTCCCGTACCTTTCCCATTGTAGCCATCCCATGACATTGGAAGCCACGTACAGTACTCCACCAGCCCTTGCTACAAATGCCTTTTAACCTGTTTGATTTGTGCTCTACTTGTCTACTATTAAGACCCAGATTACTTTTTATTTCTGACAGTAGGCAGATGTTATGTTGATGGTTTCAGTTTCTATATATGAGTCCAGCAACCTTTTCTTTACAAATTATCTCATAGTAGCTAATAGAATGACTTGGTCACAGGAGGAAGAAAAGGAACATGAACCTCTAACTGAGCCATTGAGATCTCCCATTTGGGTCTACAAAAGTCAAAAGGCAAGACCGGAGTTGAGGAAAATAGTTCCCAAGGACTGGCACATGCTGTCTTTGCAGCTCCATTCTGCAGCCACAGCCACTGTGGTTGATTGGACACAAAAATCTGATAAACCAGTCCTACAACGAGGAGTATTTATGTGCCAATGGTTCAACATCTGCCATAGCCAGGTCCTATTTGCTGCATGAAGAGGCTTGAATATTTATATGACCTGTGAATTAATTTCTGGATCTTTTAATTTTTATTAGATGCACAATACTCATTCCATACAAACAGCTGCATGTATTACACATATCCTATGCAAATATTGCTCATTTCTGCCTCCTCTTTTCCCCATGGATTCTGAAAGATCCCGTTTGGAGAGCATAAACATGGCAAGTGTGGCAACACATAAAAAACATGTAGGAAGTCACTGTCTATCACTTATCTACAAGTTATTCCCACAAAAGTAGACCTCTGTTCTTCATGTTCTCCACTTATGACGCAACTGCAGGGCTTTTAAAATTAATTTTAATTAAGTAAATAACTTAAATTGACTTAACTGGTATTGCAAACTTCAGTGGATGCCTGAAAGGCTACAGGGAAACTAGCCCAGCCTCCTCTCTACCCATGGCAGTGCAGCTCTCCATGCTCGAGGGAGCTGTGGAGTTGCCTGTTTCCCTGTCAGAATAACTCTTTGATAACAATTTCAGGTTACCATGGCTGCTGGCAGTGGCCAACAGGGTCTTGCTGTTCAAAATCTTTATTGTTAGCGGAACTCAGGCACACGTACTTTCCCAAATGTCAATTCAGGCATGTTAATAAGTAACTGCAATAGAAACAGCATTAGAAAGTCCCTGCAGAGCAAAGAGCCTCCGAAAGCAGTAGGCAAGATCCTTTTCTCCACATCTGCATTACAGGCTAGCAGAGATAATTCTACCACGGCTTTGCTGGTAAGCCTGCAGCAGTGTTTGCAAACGGTGATTTATACAGAGCAGCGCGTTCAGCGGTCTGAGCTCTGGTCCCATCCTACCTGCTCCTGGTACAGTGCTGTGTTTCGACAAGAACTCAGTTTTCAGACAGGGGAATAATGGGGCCCAGCGCACCAGCAATTCCAGTACAACGAAGACATGGGATTACTGGAACAACTCTGGTGAAGGACCACAAATGCAATTAAGGAACTGGGACATCTATCGTACAAGGAGAGGCTGAAAGATCTGAGGTGGGTCCATCTGGAGAAGAGAAGGCTCAGGAGGATCTGATCCATGTGTATAAACACCTGGTGGGAAGGCATCAAGAAGATGCAACCAGAGTATTCTTAGTGGTGCCTCATGAAAGAATAAGAGGCAATAGGCACACTAAATGCAGTACAAGAAATTCTGTTTGAACATAAGAAAAATTTTCTTTAGTGTGAGGGTGGCTCAACATGGTGGCAAGTTGCCCAGAGAGGTTGTAGAGTCTCTATTCATGGAGATATAATCAGAAGGTGGTCAGGCATAGCCCTGGGCAGCCTGCTTGAGCTGATCCTGCTGAGCTGGGGGCTGGACAGGATGATCTCCAGAGGTGCCTTGCACCTACATCTGAACTAGCCCCAGGGTAAGCAAGTTCTCAGGATGTGTGCTAATAACAACAATAATATGTAGTTTTCCTTCTGCCTAAAGTGAGACATATTCTTCAAACAAATCCCTAAATATGTCATGCACCTGCTCCAACCTGTGATCTTACCTGCCTCAGGAACCACCAGCCACACAACACAAGTAATCCTCTGCTGTTTGCTGTTTGAGTTTTATCACCCTTGCCCCCCCTCAACAAGCTGAAACCATATGCATGTGAAATTCACAAATCGAAACAAACCAGAAACAGGATAAAGAAACTTTACAAAGCAACAAGCTGCATGATCATATGCTTACATAGTCCTGTGTATTACATTTGTATCTCCTAAGGATACGTTCAGGTCATCATCTACATAAACTTTCTAGGTTATTATAGATAACTAGAAATTTGACCAGCAAACACACAACATCAGACACGTCTCCAAAATGCTTAAACCTGGAAAAAGTATTTGGCTAAAATTCATCTATTTTTTTCTATAAATGGAGATGGCTTCTATATTTCTGACATTGTTGTAATGCTGAATACATAACATATGCACATAGGTGCTTTTATGAACTAAAGGACATTTAATTTAATGCAAAGTCCACATCAAAGTACAAGGTAGACAATCTTCTGGTTCTCAAGCATTCTGCAAAAAGGAGAATACTTTCATATTTCATACTTACGTTTTTGATAATTCACACCATAAACAACAGAATAAATAACTTTAACACATACTGTAGTTAGTTTAGGACAAAGTCATTAGATTGTTAAGTATTAACATAGCACACGTTTATATAATGATGAAGAGAACACACCAGTTCTTACAAGGTCATGATAAGAGGCAGAGCACACTATCGGTAATCTAAAGAATATCCATCATGTGGAATTGAATTAGATGCATCTCATTTTCACTTTGTCAACCTTACTTCATATTCTGGTTGAAGACCAGCACGCTACCTAGGATAGCAACTATCCCCAAGGTATGTATTATATCTTCATTTGACAGGTCTGGGGGCAGGTAGGTCAAATCAATACTTTAGAGATCTGTCCATGGTCCAAAATGGACAATAAAAAAATCACATGATATATGAGTCTGGCACAGAGGGAAAATAACACGTTTAAGAATGAGGAATAATGATAAGAAAAGAAAAATGGATTTTGCTGAAAACAAAGGGAAGAACTGTATTTCAAAATCGTATTAGAGATACCACAGGGACTAATTCTGTTTGGTACAAGAGAATACATTTCTACTTATCACCACTTCATGTAGGACCCATTTTAATGAGTATGTCAGCACACAGACAGGAAAAAAAAAAACTAACCATTTGTTTATATGGTTGTGTGAAAAGGCTGAAAAATCTTAGCTGTTTTCAGATACTTGCAGTGTTCCACAGACACTGAAGGCAAAATAATAATTATAGATGTCATACTGTACAGTGGAATGGAAAGGAATCAGGAATGCAGGGGTAGGCAACACTTGTATACCCATTCATTATTGATACTTGACAAAAAGTGATGGAAAAACATTGTTGACTAGATTACTACATGGACTCAGAAACATGAACTGTATGAGCCTCCTGACAAGTAGGTTACTTCTTGACAGTCCAATGTTCCTAACTTCATTCTAGGAATAGGTTGTGCCACACTCTTCAGTGAAGATAACCCCTAGACTAGAGAAGCTGACCATCATAAATTAAACCAAAGATAAAATATGTGGAATAATCACTCCAAAAAATAAATCAGTGATTTATGATGCCCCTTTTGGCTTTGCTATATTCTAGGACAAACTTCACTAGAAGTCTGTTTATATGGGTTCACTCAGCTTCTCCTCTATGTAAGCATTAACGATGAAACTGGAATCTGAATTTCTTCCAGCATATGAGCTGAGCTTAGGTCTGTTCTACCCTTTGTTCTAGAATCAGCATTTCCAGGTTTTGTAGAGAGCAAAAGGTAGTGGTCATCTTCTGTGGAATTTTGTAGGTCTTGACCTAAATTTCTCCTAGTCTGAGACTACTTGGCCATTAGGGTTTGGTTTGGACTTATTTCTATCAAAGAGATGCACTGACATGTGAAAATAGTTTGTATTCATTTTAAAAGTTCATTTTTTCTATTGGCATAAAACAAGGATTCTTACCAGTAACCTTCAATTCAACTGTTCTTCGTATAAGCTTGCCTTCAAACTTCAGTTCACAGGTATAGTTTCCTCCATCTTCCTCCTGGACTTCTTGTATTAAAAGAGTGTTTCCCTTCTGAATTACAATACTTCTCCACATTTTTGGCTTACATTCCTGCAGAAAAAAAAAGCAACAGCAAAGAAACACTGTAATATTTCCCAGCTTGTATGACATAGGATTGTGTTGCCTGATCAGATTTTCAGTATTATATACATAAGTAAACAACCTCAATATATTTTGCAATTAAAATTCAAATCTAATTTCAGAAAGCATGGAGATCTGGAACTGGAATTAATCTGAAGACAGAAATTGCACAGAATTGTTTTTAAAGTTCACCAATTCCCACTGTATCACATGGGCCATGTTTAGTATGTGTTGCCCTGAAGCAATGGCTAAGTATCTTCTCTTTTTCATGATGGACAACTGCCAAGATCTTTATCTTAGGATGGACCATTAAAACACATCTCTGTTTGAAGGGAGCATAGGCAACATCTGTTAAGAGCTAGTCTGGAGACACACTTTACGCACAGTCTCAGCCTCATTTACCAACAGAAGAACACAGGAAGAACAGCAGCAGTTTTGTGAGCAAGACAATTTGAGAAACCTGGTTTCCTTATGGCCTTGTGTGTCATCAGTGGCTTCTCTCGCATCTAACGAGGTGTGAGCTCTGATTCAGCCTTTTCCATCCCTAGGCTCTTTGTAGCATCACCCCGTGTGCATCATCTGGTGGAGTACGTGGTTCTGATGGTCTGCAACTTCTACTGACTTTCCCAGGCAGATGTTAGATTTAGGTTCGTCCCTATGCACTGCAGTCCTACTGGAACAGCATTTGAGTCCTGTACAGAGTGTGTTACACAGGAAGAGATGGCTCTCCTTTTCCTAATGTACTGCATCCTTGCAACCAGACCAGTCCCTTTCCACACTAATGGTACTCAGGATACCTCTTGAAATGCTCTGAACCACTGTGCATGGACACAGTCCTACCACTGTCTCTTTAAAATGGTACCTTAGGATGATATGTTTATTGCCTCTCAGTAGCTTTAGCATCAAGTCCGTTCTGCGCACAAACAAAATCACGCCTTTCTCAGTTCTCTAAAACACTGAGTACTCTGGTTAATTCTGCTTCCCAGAGCATACAAAGCAACACAGTTAGGACTCAAGTACCTTTAATGCCATTTATTCCCTCTCTCAAGGTGGCAACATGGAATGAGCTCTCAGACTGCGAATAACAATCCTGCATCACCATCAGCAGCAGGCTCACCAATTTCTGAAAATTCACATAAAGAGCCCTGATCTACACCCCATTTTCTGTCTGTCTGCAGTAGCAGTGTCAAACATATAGCAAACAAAACAGAACAAAGCTTTCTTTCTTTTAAGAAACAACCAAACAAGAAAACATGTTGACATGCAAATATAGTGTATGACAGCAAAGGATTGGAATGACATAAATATTATTTTTTCATGAGACTCCATGCACGCTCTAAATCTACAGTGTCAGTTTTTAAAGAGAATAATAAAGAAGTAAAAAGGCGAAACAGTGAGCTTCTGCCCTTGCACCTGAAAATTGAGCACTGAAGCAATTATCCCTCTTTCTAATAGGTCAAATTCAGTTACAATGTAGTCAAGTTCAGAATACCTAAGATGTGCAATTCCACTGCAGGTAACAGTGTTCACGTTATCTTTCTGTCTCCAAAGCACATAACCTTGTCTTGCATGTGAACTTCAGCTAACAGCAATGAAACACAATGCTCAGAATCCAGATCCTTTCTGCTGTGCTAAAAATCTGAGCTTATTGTTGTTACTAAATTGCACAGACATGGCTTGAGACTCATGTGAGGAATGGATCTGAGCAGGAAAATGGCGTAAAGCCCTTTCTGATTTGCACTCAATTTTCAGACCTATTTACAGGGGCAATGGAGTTGCATCAACCACCTTCTTGGACTAAGTAAATCTGAAGTCTGGGCAGAGAATATGATTCAATTCCATTCAATCCTAATTTAGAAGCAAGACAATTCTAGGAATAAACACAGTAAGCATATTTCAGATACGCACCCTTGCAGTGCAACACTGGAAGACCCTGCCATAAATATGTTACCAGTTTAATAGTCTGTATATTTATTCTTAAAAGTACACAAATGAAGAGACTGAATAGATGCATTTTCATATGCTTTATAGTTTTATATCCTACATGGTCACAGTAAGAAGGGCGACATCTTTACTACCATAGAGATTAATGATTTAGCACGATGTTCGTGCTGTTGTGGTTTTACAGTGAGAAATCGTTCCACTGACTTCCTTTTCTTATCTACTTAAAACACTTCATATTAAACAATGATTTATAAGCCTTCCATTCCCAAATTTTAGCTAATTACTTTTTGTCTACTGACTATATGGGCTTTTTAAATATGTGTTCAAAGTGCCTCTTTTTCCTGCCTCTTTTTTTCACAGACCAGTTCAATCCACAAAACAAACAAACAAAAAAAAAAGGCAAGAAAGGAGGAAGATAGAAAATCCTAAAGATGCCTATTTAAAGCAGAAAACAAACAAACAAAAAGGCCAGGATGAAGTGAATAAAGAAAAAAACAACCAGTCTTTATTTTGAGGAAATAATCTAGATTTTGCTGTCTAAGGTCTACTAATTTCACTAAAACAGTAAGTGCCCAAGTATATGACTGTTACTTGCTTATCCAATTAATTCTTTTTCTGCTTTTCCATTACATTTACCTGCTGGGAGAATGTAAAAGTTTCTTTTCTAGCTTATGTATCCTCCACAGACATTTTAAATGTTTTTTTTTGTTTGTTTGTTTATTTGTTTGCTTGTTTGTTTTCCCCCCAAATAATTAATTAGAGAGTTATTATGCTGCTGCTTCTTCTCTTCTGGGAAATGTAAATGGCAGCATCTCCACACCTCTATTTTTTGTAGGGTAAATAACAACTATTGTCCTTCACCCACCATTTTGATTGTTTTTACAGCCCTTCCTTCATCCCACTAGTAGGCAAGAGGTGGTGGAGATGGATTAAGGCTCTGCGTTCTAGATGTAATATACCTTTTTCCTCTGCCAGTTGATTTTTCTTGAAACTGCTCTTACTGTTAAATCCCATTCATTCAATCGTGCCTTGGCATATACATTTATTTAAAAAAAAATCCTTATACTTCTTGTCAAAACAGTTCTAATGGGCCTAACAGAGCTGTGTGTATATCAATGGCATTAACTGTGGAAATCTTTCAAAAGAAATATTTCACGCACTGTAATTCTAGCCAGAAGTGAAGTTCATACTACTGTTAAAAAAAAAAGCCCTGATAGCAAATGTTTTAGCATTACTTATTGGGTGTGTATGTAGAAATCTACTCAGGCATAATTATTTTAAGAGTGTATTTAAATTACAGTTAACTCCCTCTAAATTGATGCAATTATTGGCTCTGATTCATTAATCTCCCCACACAGAGAAGGCTTCTGGAAGGCAGGGCGAGTCCTGCACACTGTGAGCTGGCAGCACTGGTGTCTTTTCTGGTATCAGTTCATCAGTCAGAAGTCCAAATTCCCCAGCTATCAGGGGACTGACAGGCTCTCTCGTGTCCACAAGGATTTCTCTTTTCAGCCAAAGAATAAAGGAAGAACCTTCAGGACTTCCTCATATATATTTATGCACTATATATATGGACAATTTATACTCTCCCCTTGAAAATCTTCTCTAAATATTTCCACATAATGAAAAGCAACTGCCTCCAATGCCTCTGCAACAGATTTACATGGGAAGATGGCTGACTATACCTTCATGGATACATTAAACTCAAACACAAAGTTAGAGAGTAATAAACTGAAGATCTACTCTATTGTGTCTGGAAACAAATGCATTTTTTGGGAAGTGAGGATTAGGTCCTAAACTGGAATATCACATTACACTATTTTTTGGGAGAAGGGACCTGCTTTTTGTCATACACATCACCTAATGTAGCCTGATTTTATGTTCTAGGAGTAACCCCAGTACTCACCATATTATCTTGAAATCTATGAAATTATATATTTTCCAGAAACTAGGCTTCATCTCTTTTCAAAAGGCAGATTTCTATTAGTAGTTAATACTACTATATCCTCTAGAACATTTTTCTAAACTGTTTCAGGAATATGTTTCATGCTATAAGCTTCTGCATAATACTAATGTTGACATTTCACATTACTGAGCTTCCTGACTCTGGTCCAGACAACAGAGGTGTTATCTAAGAACTGAACTGATAGCACCTTATTGTTAATTATGAATAAGGAGGTATTTGTAGTAGGTTATTCCATTAATGTCTCTTTGCATTATCAAGCCAGACTAAAGACCGTTGACCTGGACTGTCTGCTATTATCCAACCGTATCAATTCCCATCAATTTCACCACAGCAATGACGTGTCAGCTGTCACACTCCAGCCTGGTGTCACACAACCTGTGTGAGCAACCCAGATAACACATGTGGCTGTATGGAACCAAACCTCTTCCTTCCCCGTTCTTGGACAGCACAGAGCATCAGTGATGTGGGGCTGGACATGCATCTTTCTTAGGTTGATTTCTGCTCCATGACAGCTGAAGGTTATCCCTGCCAGATTATTTTTGCAGCATGCTATTGCACAAAAGAGATCTCAGTGCTCAGGTGTTCAGTAATACCTAGGTATACAGGGCAACAAGCAGCTTTTCTTTGGTACCCTTTTTTCTATTGAAATTTCAGACCTAAGTGAATACAAATATTTTATGCATGAACAGCACTGAAGATAGTCACCCATACGCTGAGAGAAACAGCTTCAATGGCTGAAAGAAAATTTTTTGTTTATACTGACAGTGGGTTATGGCACGTTTTGTTACTATAAGCTAGAACATGTGAGATTTCTTTAGGTCTGCACGTAACACTTATTTCATACAAAATAATCATCTTTAAAGAATGTTAAGGTTGCTAAATCAAGCAAAAATTTAGAATTTAACTGCTTTGTGCATTTCTGTCTTCATTACCTAAAACAAGGTTCGTCCAAAACTCATCCTTCTCTTATCCCTGTAGTCCAAACTCTGTATTTCACTGATCCCACTGAGATCTTCCTCTTGTCCAACTATTATTTCTTGTTCCCTCTGACCCTCATCTCTTTATTCCTCCCCATTGTTTCCTGCAGCTCCTCACACTCAACAGCTTTTCAAATATCAGACTTTGGTCCACATCCAGAGAGCATGTAAAACTTGCCAAGACCTTGGTATGGTCTTGGTACTTGATGTTTACCTGACAGACAACCCGCGTTTTAGCCATTGTTCAGTTCTCTTGCAGAGCTACAGCAACACAGATGTTCCTACTGCTTAAAATGCTGTGTGATACTTGATAGGCCTTAGAGAAGGCACAGCCATCACACTTACCTGCAGAGTAATAAAAGTATCTAGCAGACTTCAGTTAAAATTAACAGACCTTGGTAAAATTATTTAATGAACCTTAGCAAAACTAAATGTATCTCTGTGAAATTACCCAACGGACTTTGGTAAAACTCAAATGGCCTTGGTAAAATTACCCAACAGATTTCATAAAAATTAATTGGGCAGCACTGCCGAAGCTGGCGGTTTTGGTAAAACTTTGGCTCCATTTTAGGTTGCTTCCCTTTGTTTCTACTAGATCATCAGGTATGGAGACATCTCACCAAAGTGAAAACTGGCACAGAGGCACAGTGGTTAAAAAAGTGGAAGTTTTGTATAGCTTCAGCACAACAACAATAACACAGCAATAGTTACCTTGTACCATACAACATCTGGCTCTTGACTGGCTATTTTGTAATCCTCAATATCAGGACAGGAGATTGTCTTTCTCTTAGTGACTTCTGATTTTTCCAGATATCTGATCTTGCTGTTGTAGCAAAGCCCAGATTCATTCTCAGCTACCGTCAAGGACATGGACACCTTCATGCAATATGTTGAGTTTCTGCAGGGACAAAAATATGATGTCATTTATCTTACCCCCCCACACACATTATTATTATTATTATTTTTTTAACCAAGTCTGTTTCAGTACAGTAAGTTTCCTTGTTAAACACTGATCTTCACAAACACGTCAGCGACACATTCAAACAATGGCTGTCATACTGTGCATTTACTGCATTACTAAAAGACGTAAAGGCTCATTTCCGGCTTACTACGAAGAACCCTACAGAAATTTTGTTGACAAGTGATCCAACCCAGCACAGCAGCTCTTTTGATCTTGCAAGCCTACAGACAGGAAACTGTTGCCACCTCAAATGTTGGTCGGGATGCACTGATTCATCATTCCCATTTCCTCTGCGTGCCACAGGCACTCCTCCTCCTTCAACTTCAGATTTCACACCAGTATGCAGCACTTTAACAATTACGATGAAGAGTTATTGCTAGCTTGTGCTAGATGTTAAACATAATGGAGATAGAATTCCTCCCTCTGAAGGAACTGCCATATAAAATCCTACAGCATATGATGGGGGGGTTGACCTTGTCCAGCTGCCCACCCAGCTGCTCCCTCACTCCCCCTCAACAGGGCAGGGAGAAGAAAATAAGATGAAAAAGCCCGTGGGTCGAGATAACACAGGGAGATCACTTATCAGTTACTGTCATGGGCAAAACAGATTTGACTTGGGAAACATTATTTTGATTCATTGCCAACTAAATTAGGTTTAAATGCGTGAGAAAGACAAAAAAAATAAAAAATAAAACACCTCCTCACCCCTGATTTTCACTCCTCTGCCTCTCTCCCACTAGTGGCGCAGGGGAAGGGCATGGTGGCCATGGTCAGTGCCTAACAGCTCCTCTTTACTTCTCCTTCCTCCACACTCATGCCCTGCTCCACGCTGGCTCCTCACAGACTGCTCCAGCACGGGCGGGCTCCTCTCCATGGGCTGCCGTTCCTTCAGGGCACATCCCCCGGCTCCACCATGGTTTCTCCACAGGCCGCAGGGAGCCCTGGGCCTGAAGCACCTCCCGCTGCCTCCTGCCCTGACCCCGGTGCCGCAGGGCTGTTCCTCACACTTTTCTTCCTCACAGCTGTGCAGCCTCTCCTTTTTTTCAGATACATTTCCCCTGAGGTGCCCTCAGTGCCACTGCTGGGCCCAGGCCTGCCCTGTGGTGGGGCCGCTGGAGCCGGCCTCTCCTCACAGCGCCCTGCGGGCCCACTGCTCTGCCTGGGCACAGGCCCCCAGCACACGCGTTTAAGTCAACTGACACATTTTGGCCTTAAAATATTGAAAAATGCAATCCCTTAGCAATTAAAACCATTCCCTACTCTATCATCGAAAGATTCCTGATAGGGTTAACAAGCAGAGTGGTTTGTGAGCTGTCTAAGCTTATTTTTTCCTTAGTATCAGGCCACAATAAACACAACCAAGCCAGCTCCTGTGCCTCATGATCATGAAAACAGGATTAAATTAAATTCCTTCAGACTCACATCTTTAACAGAGTTATCAGACACACAATAAAAAACCTAAACCAATGTTTGTTGTGGTGTTACTGTAAAGCATTTGCACTTTGCACAGGATTGTTGCAACCCAGACTGTCAGCTTCTGGCCTTCATTAGGTGTGATGGCAAGCAGAGTCCTTTAAAAGCAAACTACAAAGTACAAGCGACAATATAATGAGGCTCTTCCTCCCATCGTGCATCATTTTTGTCATTTTAATTGACTATGCCATAACCAAAAAGCCTGGAGTACATCTGACATGCTGGGTGGTTACTCCCATCAAAGGGAGCTGTGCAGTCTCTTGCAGAAGATATTAAGGCTTTGCTGCCGCCTCTTCCATCGCAGCTCTGCTGCAAATGACTTCAATGGCATGGCAGACAAATTTTGTTGTGCCCTATGCACGTGGAAAGCGATCTATCAGTCAAACTTTGACACTAATGGTACTGGATGCCTACTCCCTCCAAACGGACTCATGACAATGCTTTGAATTAAAACAAAAAAAAAAAATCCTGTGTGCTCTGTAACAAGTCTTTTTTAAGACATGTTTGAACAACATGTCACCCTGTCAAGTGAGCCCGTAGTTAGGAAGAAAATAAAAAGGCCTAAAGGGGCACTTCATCATGGCTTTAAGCTTCATGCTAAACAAGTGCTGACAGAACAGCGTGCAAATGGCTTGTCAAAGGCATGCCGTGAGCAGGTATTTGCAGAAGATGGCATCTGCAAGGCAAATCAATGAGCAATCTTCTGAAACCTTCAGCTTTCAAAGTCATCAGTTAGGTATTCAGCAGAACCGACCATAACATGGGGCTCCCAACCGAAGCATCTTACAGCAGATCTCCCCACAGGGCCTTCTGCCAGACTGAGGCAGGGCTACTCTTATAACGGGGAAAGTGAGGCACAAAGAGACACTCAAGAGTGCAGGACAGGTCCCAGAGCTGAAGTCACCTTCCAAATTTCAGATTAGCCCTCTTCTACCTTCACACTGTCCACATGAGCAACAAATGCCACTGACATGAAAATATGCTGCAGGAAATACTGAATTTGCCACGCACTCTGTCTTCCTGCTCCCTTATCTTCACAACACCACATGAACATTCACGTAATAAAGTCAGCAGGTATTTTCTCTGTCCCACACCTTAGAAGAGAAAGGCTCTTGGTGCACTGCCATGCTCTGTTTCAGCTGAGGGGCTATGGAAAAGTCTCATCCTCACAAACTACACTGAACTTGAACTTTTACTTGAAACAGAAGTTATCTGGACTAAACAAGATGCATCATTTTAGAGGGCCTTTTCAGAAATACCTACATGATTTACGGAACATAAGTCAGCTTTCTTCTAAAGCTACCTGCTTTTGAATAGGGTTGCCTTCTTTGTAAGAAAATAAAACATACTTGGAGAATTTCAATGCTTTCAAATACAGCCCTGAAATACACAAAAAATGGGTATGACTATGTATAATCCATAGTAATAAATCAGGAATGATTATTTAACTTTCCTGAATAACTATGAGTATTACTGGGGGAAATAAGGTCACATGCCCTTAGTAATAATGATCAAGGCTAATCAAGAATAACGACTTTGAATAGCTGACCATTACTCAGTGTTATTTAATAGTACTGTATTTTCTGCTAACAATCTTGCATTATTTAGATTGCATTTTGAACAGTGCTGGAGACTACTTCTATTTAAAATGCTTCCTGGAACCACGACCTAAAAACGTAGTACTCTTTTCACTAGTTACAATTAGAATTGAATTGAATTGAGTCAACTAAGTGCCTGGTGAGCACTATCACTTTTGTTCATACTCTATAACCAAGACAATAAATCTGTTCAGATTCGTGATGAAGAAAGCCCTCACTAAGCCAACAGCAACAGACTTGAAAGCTTTATGAATGCTTCTTCATCAGCCATTCACATTAGCACTACTGATGGTAATTCAAAAAAGAGCAACTTCTGCAATTGCAGGAATTCCAGTTAATAAAGCAACAGCCTTCCTTTAATCTAGTCAGTTTGGGATAACAGTTCCATTTCAGTCACGTGCAAAACAAAACAGCAGTTTGATCAACTTTGCTGTTTTTCTCAGTTTTGAAGCAGAAGCCTTGGAGTCACTGTTTACAGATGATGTGAGCCATTCCTTCGTTTGCTAGGCAGCTGATTCCCAGGTTGGTATGGATTTCACCACACAGTCCTCTAAGCAGGGTGGTGGGTCTGCATTCACTTTTCTTGGAGATTTCTGTGTCTACTACCTTTCTATCAGCCCAAATGCTATGAGACAGAGCTTCCTAAGAAAATATACAACCTAGATTGGAAAATAATGGTGCAGGTCACTGAGGTGATGGAGACTCACCTACAGAGGTTCTTCAGGAAGCCCATGAAGCCACTGTGCTGGGATGGATCCAGCTCTTCCTTTCCAACTGTTTTCATGACCTCTGGTTCTCCTTAATTGAGCTGCATTTGTTTCTGGCAATATCTGTTTTTTGTTTGTTTGTTGGTGTTTTTTTGTTTGTTTTGTATTTTAATAAAGATATGCAGACTGGCATGAACCCTCCTTTTCTTGCTTTTTTTTTCTTCTAAAAGCTAAGCAAATAGCCTATTATAGGAATTACAGAATTGTAAACCAGAGAATCTCCTGTTGTTTTCAGTACATGGTCATGGAACTCTGTGGGGGAGGTCAGTGCTCCCAGCAGTTTGCAGACTGGCAGGGCAGGTGAGCGCATTTAATGAGAGAAGCTGGAACATGCAAGAAACAAAAGGATCAGCAAAGCCAGTAAGCTGGGTTTTGCTATCAGAACTGGTGAATGAAAGATTAAAAAGGATGCATCTTCCAGGTGGTTGGGGAGGATGCTGGAGAGCTTGTGATGGTAATCACAATATCAAGAGAGATTGAGAGTCATATACAACTCAGAGTAGAGAATATCGTTGACTACATGGAACCCAAAGGAACCCAAGAGACTGCAGAGAGCCCATTTTCCACATGTACAGGAAATAAGCCAATGAGTTTTGAAGTGTGTCTTTTAATAGTTTGTGTTTTGTAAAAGGTATCCAAAGCGTTCATCCTCCACGGGACCCAATTACCAGTGGTTTCCTTGTTTATAAGTAGTAGCAGTGGTCATATGAGGAATGGAAAAGAAAGAATCACTCTGCAGAATGAAGAAAAACATTGTAAAGTCTTATGTTTCCACACAAACTAAGATTTATAACTAAGATTTATAATTCTCTATTTCAAGGAGCTAGTTATAAGCTGGGCCTACTCTCTGGACCGAAAATGTGAAAAAAGGTTTAGCTTTGCCAGAGTTCACAAAGCAGTTTTCCTCTGTTCTGTGGCAAGGCATTCATAATTCCCAGACCACCTGGAACTGGCTCTGAAACACAAACTGAAGCCAGCTCAGAATCCAATAGAAAGACACAGGCAAAAACAAGGGAGCTTAACAGGTCTCAAAACAAAAGCAAGCTAAATTATGAGTTTGGCTTCACTTCAAAGCAAAGACAAGAGGAAAAAAGGGAGA